GAAAACATATGGGATCTAAGACTCAACAGCTTGCTTTGCATGAATTCTACAGCCATGTTACCTGGATTCAAAGTTTAGCAAGGTAATTTGGAACAACCTAAGGAGCCTCTCTGTGCCACAGTTTCCTCATCTATAAAACAGAAATAGTAGTAGCGCCAGGTGCGGTGGCTCATGCCTGTAATCCCAGCACTTTGAGAGGCCGAGGTGGGTGGATCGCCTGAGGTCAGGAGTTCAAGACCAGCCTGACCAACATGCAGAAACTCCGTTTCTACTAAAAAATACAAAAAAATAGCTGGCTGTTTTGGCAGGTGCTTGTAATCCCACCTACTTGGGAGGCTGAAGCAGGAGAATCGCTTGACCCCAGGAGGCAGAGGTTGCACCGTTGCACTCCAGCCTGGGCGATAAGAGTAAGACTCTGTCTCGAAACACACACAAACACACACACACACATACACACACATACACATGGAGTATGGGGTTGTTGTGAGGCTTAAATGACAAAATGCATGTAAAACACTCAGCACCACACCTCACATGTAGTTGAAAGAGTAAGGACAGCAAATATATATATTGCATTTATTGTATGTGCCAGTCATTGTTTTAAATGTTTTTCACTCTTTAACTATAATTCTTCTTCTTCAAATGCATAATGGCACTAGCACCTGAAGGTAAGGGTTTCAACACTTTTTCTTCAATCTATGTAAAAAGATGATAATACTTTCTGCCTTTAGCTACTTACGTGAGAAGCAGGCTAATCAAAGTAAAAAACATTGTATACCCTCGGGAAGAGAGGGGTCACAGAAGGTGGATGGTGATCAGATTGCATCATCCCTGAAGTCCCCCTGGAAGCCTAGCCCATGTCCATCCTGCCTTGTGGGGAGGTCATTTACCTTCAGGGGCAGTGGTGTTTTCAGAATTTTCCCTGCCCTGGTCAGCGTGGTTGGCAACCGCACTCCCGCTCTTTGTCCTTCGAAGAACACTCAAAGCTCGATTTATTTTTTTAAAAGATCTGCTTCTAATAGTGGATCTCTCAAAGGGCCGTGCTGAGGAAAAGCAACAAGAGGAACAGTAGTTATGATTTAATAGAAATCATCATTTATGTACATATCTGATAAAATATATATAATAAGACATTAACAGTGACTACCTCTAGGTGGTAGGATTGTAGAATTTGCTTACCTGTATTTTCTAAGTTTTCTACAGTGAAATATGTATGACGTGCTCTGCTTTTCTTTTCTGTTTCTGGGCTGAACTGAATACAATAGCACTTTTCTTGAACAGTATGGCTGAAAAATTACTGACACTGCAGGAGTGATGAATCATTAGGTCTAGTTTCAGCCCCTTTCACCAAGTCAGATTACACACAGTTTAATGATCGGAGGTACTTGTGGTTTCACTTCACTTTGGAGAATTGGACATTGGGTTCCTGCCAAAACTGCCAGAATGATTTCCCCTTAAAAAACATTTCTAGAACTTTCCACAGTAAGTATTCCACAGAGAGCAATCCCAAGCCAAGGAACCCAATCCTGGACAACCACCCATTTGACTCACCCCTAGTTCGGTTGCTCCGTCCAGAGTCCACTGGGCTGACTGCTGGCTGCCCGTCTTCCGCCGAGGACACGTAGGCAGGGTTGTCTAGGCCAGGCTCGTCTGTCATTAAGGAGATGGTGGCAGCTGCAGAAACCTCTGGGGAGGGAGCCATGGCTGTGAGGCTTGCACAGCCATCTGGACAGCCATCTTGTGAGCGCCTCTTCCTGTCTTTGGTCAGGCCGTAGTGGGAGGCACCTTTACAGCTGTAACAGAACCAGTGGGGAGGTGAAGAAGAGCATTGGCTCTGCTGCCATTCCTCAGTCAGACCTCTTCAAATACAATTGAAGAATGTATAATAGGCTTGTTGAACTTGGAATCTGATTTGCCTTCCCCTATATTCTCTCTTCCCTTTTCACATGTTGGTACTCAATATACATTTGCCAACCAAGTGAATTAATAATTTGAGATGTTTTAAAAGATGCCCACTGCATTCTCTTAAAGCAATCTCTACATTGGCTCCTGGAATGCAAATTTATTCAGGTTGCCATGGTGTCTACATGACCAGGCTTTGAGGTTGGCAATGTTCAACTGTTTGGTAATTCCTGCTTGCTGGTGTTTATTTTGACCATGAAAGCCCTTAGTCACACTGTCACTCATTTCTTTTGGATTTTGTTCCCACAGCACTGAACGTAAATATAAAGCTCCTCCCAGATTCCATATTTAACTGTCCATGGAAAGAGAATCACCTTCACCACAAAGCCACAGGAGTGAGCTCAGAATTGCTATCCTCTAGTGGCAGCTTGGTGGCTTCCATTCTCTTTCTCTGGGCTGGTCTGGGAGGGCCTCCCTGGTGCTGGGGGCTCCCATGATCTGAAAAGTGTCATTCATCGCCATGTTGTCTAGCATTAAGAGAGTAAAACAGCTTTTGTGGATTTTAGCAAAAACATATTTGTCTCTACCCATTCACTGTCCATGCTATAAAAAAAATCCAAAAAATTCCACAAAAACCAAACTTTGTGAGAAAGGCAAGTTACTGGTGCAATAGAGAGAAGTTGAAAAAGAACATTCTTGAGGCTCAGGAGACCAGGGTTTGAGCTGATCTAGGTCCATATTTTGCCACGAACATGAACACTGCCACTGGGCAAGTCATTGCAGCGCACAGGCTAGGTTTTGATCAGGAAATGGTGATTTAACTATCTCACTGCACTGTCGGGAGGGTAGCTACAGGTAGCCACTCCAGTTTCCGTAGTTGTGAAGGCAGAAATCACATCATGAGCCCCTTTAAGAAGTGTCCATTTACATATAATGGATGTGTTAATTATAAATTATTATCAGTTCAATACACAAAACCCTATATGATTGAACTATTTTAAATAGCCCTTTGAGATCCTACTTTAGGGATGCTTCATGTTTTTGAAAGTAGATGAAATCAAAGGTCAGTCTACAGTGATATGCACACATGATTTGTACTGCCCATAGAGTCACAGAAATGGCAGGATGGAAGGTCCTATTGTCTAGATCCAAATCCTTGCTCTGAAATTTACTTAGCTGGGTGATCTGGGGAAATTTTATTTAGCTGGCTAAACTTCCCAATTTGCATATACTTTCTGGATTGCTGTGAGGTTTGATTGACATTAAGTCTTATTAGGGGTTTAGTGCTTTTCGCCAAAAGTACTAGAATGCGAATTCATTAAAGTCGTCATGGTATCCACATGACTACAATCAGTTCTTGTGAGACTGTAGCTATTTCCATATTTGATCCATCCTAAGATGCTCTTTTCATGCTTTAACATGTCTAAAATCAGGATGCATGTGTGATTGATGGGGTTGTGAAGTTTCTGTTGCCAGGTGGCACTCATGATGCAGATGCCACCATCCCAGCATGGCAAACCTAGTCACATGGGTGCCCCTTATCACTTCCATTGAGTTGCCTACACGCTTGGTATTACACCATTGAGTGTAATTGCCATTTGAATGTAATGATTCAGTACTAAAACGAAAAGTTATAGAAAACCTCAAAAACCGAACGATTGGATATTGATTAAGTACATATTCATTGTTAGAAGCAGAATCATAATTCCATGTTTTCTTGCAAAGGGATAAGCAAAAGTTGTATATGCTTAGAAAGAAAGATGCACCCAAGGGAATTAAAAGTGGTGTTACATTTTGTTATTGAGAACATTCAAAAAGGATTGCCTGTTTCATGCCAAGCAACACAACCAAGGGCAGGAGAAGCTGCCAAATTCATCTGAATGGATTTCAAAGCCACAAGAGTCTAGTGTCACCAATCTATACATCACGGGGATATCTTTGGTGTTTGGGGATTATTTAACTAATGGCACATTTTAAAATGTCATTTTCTTTGCTGTTATATGAACATGATATCTCTTATAGTCAGTGGCATCTTAGATTAGATGAAATGTGGTTTTAATATTAGTAGAAAAGGAGTTTGGTTATACAACCGTATGTCCTCATCTTCCAGATGAGAAAACAGGCCTCCAACTTACACTGCTAGTGCTTGTCCTCAGCTGGAAGAGTTCAATCTCTTGGCTTGAATTCGCGAGGTTTTACTGTACTGATTAGCTGCATTGCCTTGAAATAGTTCTGCTTAAAAATAGTGAAGAGGTTGATCTGGGAAACTCAAAAATTGGTGAAATACTGTGTGATGGAAAAAATAAAAGCCAACTTGCATTTGAGCAGCTCCAGAGTAACAAATACTTGAATGAAACACTTCCAGGCAGGCTGGCAGTATTTGATTAGCAGTGCATGGAAAGGAAGTTCCGAGCTGGTCTGGAAATGGTCTTTTCTGAGGAGGCAGCAATGCTCTTGACCATGTGCCCTGCCAGAGTAGTAATGTTATTTTCCAGTTGGACAAATGGCTGGCAAAGGCATAAGCCATGGCTTTGTTGGGAGGACACAGTATGTCCTAGTAAAAGAAAGTGGCACCTTTCTCTGCTGCCCCATCAATGGAGGGTTAAGGTATTTTAAAAATATCTGAATCCTAAGATTATGCCATTAAGAAACCATTGCACTTTCAAATTCTTGGGGTTCTAAAGATAAGTTTTTGAGTCAAGGAAAGGAAAACCTCATAAAGTAGGTAAGTAGCCTTTCCTTTGGTCTCATATCACAGCTGTTCTTACAACAGCTGGGGAGGGTGCAGAGTCTTGATTTAGGTATTCGGACTCATATGTTTTGAGTAATAAAGGTTCTACTAATGCAACTCATACTGTGTAATGTTAGCTTTCTCCAGTCTCTTGGCTTAGCTTGAACCAGAGACAGAGTGATCTATGAAGGTAGCAGCTTGTACTTACTAATTATCTCCTTTGTGGTGACTAATACTGGGGCAGCTTGATTTACAAGCATGAAAGAGGGAAGAAGCGGGGAAAAGCTGATTAGCATTGGCTAGGACAAGAATATACGGTGAACCCTGGGTTGTGTTCAAAGCAAGCAGGATTTATGCTTCCTTTCAGTTGCTCTGAGCACTAAGTACTCTCAGGTGGTGATGGGCGATGGCCATGAACTTGAAGGATGAATACAAGGAACACAGAAAACCCCTTTTCAACCAAACCACAAGCTTTGGATGTGCTGTCCATTCAAATGAGCAACTCTGAAAAATCAGTTTTCTTGGGAGATCCTGAGCTCTTTTGGCAAAGTGAGTAGAGGTAAATCTGTCTTAATATAAGAATGCTAATACTCAATGCCAGAAATTTTGTCTCTTTTGAGGTTGGAGGGGGTATAAGAAAAGAAAATGAATCTCCTTCTTGCAAAACTTCTAAGTCTGAGTTCACTGCTAATGAGAGTTGGAGACGAGACACAGGAGGGACCTCAGACATGATTCACAGAGGTTCTGATAGGGTATCCCCTGCAAAGGTCACCCAACAGGGCAGCATGATCTGGGTTCCCGTGAAGAGCTCCTTTCTGATGCTGAACTTACCCACTTATAATAGAATAAGAGTTGTTCACAAAGCGAGCCTTGATACTCATCATCATCATCCAGCCATACAACCTCCCTTTGATCTCTCCAACTTTCTGTAAATTCTTTCTCTCGGTTCACTGTTGCATTAGCAAACATTGAGTCAACTCTCACTTTGGGTTCATTAATTGCCCAGTCTGATCTGACTTCAAACAAGAGCTTGCAAATTCACATGCTCGTCAGGTGAGACAACGAGGGAAGGAAGGCCATTGGGGACCATGGTGAGCAGTGCTGCTTGACTAAAGGACACAGTAGCTGCTCCACCCTTCTCTGTTAAAAAGGCTAGCCCAGTGGCCCCTGAAAAATATGGAAGCAGAAATCTAGTTTTCAATGTAAAATCTCTTGATTTTTTAAATGGTAGCAACACATTCGAAAATCTTAAAAACACTGTGTGGTCCAAACAAAACACATCTGCAAGCCAGCTCTAGCTCCAGAGATGGCACATTCTAATCTCTGGTAATAAAAAAAACTGCCAACATGAGTAGATGGGAACCATTTTTCTTTTCTTAGTCCCCCAGAAAGCAACACTACCCTCTCCTCTTTCTCCAGTCTTCCTCCCTACCCACTATTTGTGTGTGTGTGTGTGTGCGTGTGTGTGTGTGCATGCAGAGGGGAGATGACCCCTAAAGGGGGCTTTCCTATAATTATGTGCCCTGGCCCCATTTCTGATCCAAGTCCAAAAATGAGACTAATTTTTCAACTGTATTTCTTTCACTCATGAGAGTACTAATGTCTGGCCCATAGATATTATTTAATAAGAAAGGGAGACACTCAGTCCTAATGTATGTATTCTTTCTTTCAGGCAGAGAGAATCAAGATTAGGGGACTCTGTAGGGAAGTGAGTCTCCTTGCCAACAGCTGGGTTTTAGGAATTAGTTGCTCCAATGAATGGGATGAGTGATTCTGAAACTTTGCTCAAGGTGGGGTTGCTGGAGCCAGGCGGGGAGACTGTGCTGCCAGAAAGGAGATGGTCACTGGGAGACAGAAATGGGCTCTCCCTGAGCAATCAGGTGAGTATGGGCCTCAGTAATGTGTGCTCAGCCCCTAACTCCATCTCCATGGCCAAACCCTGGCGCTGGTCCTCCTGACACCCCATCTCCATGGCTTTGCAACCAACCCCCGCCTATCCCTCTGCCCCTGACTTAGCCCTCCAGCCTCTACCCCACTGCATCTTAACCATAGCAACAATTTTTTTTTAACTCAAAAACTTCCCAGGGAAATGTTCCCATCGCTTCAGGATCGAGTCCCAACTCTGTATGCTGACATTCCGGGCCTTCCCTGATCCATATTATCGATCATGGTCTCTTGCCCACAAATCTATGGCAGCCCAGAAGGCAGTCTGGCAGAAGACAGCTCATATCTATTGATCTTTTTAAATGTATTATGCTTCAAGGATGTGGTCTCATTTTAGCCTCCCACTTGTCATATTAGTTATACCACCTAACTTCACAGATGAATATATGGACACTAGAAGGGAGAAATGCCTTGTCCAAGTTCAGAGTGGAGCTAGACTCTGAAGCCAGGCTGTGGATTCCACGCTTTCTCACCTTACATGGCTTCCTTGGTCCCTAGACTCATATCAAACTGCCCATTCCATGTCATTACTTAGATGTCTAATGGGCAGCTCAAACTTAGCAGTTTCATCCTCCCTGCCAAACCAGCTCTTCCCACGTGTTCCCATGTTATTAAATAGCTCCTTATCTGTCATTCAGGCCAAAAATCTCAGACTCATCCTTGATTTCTTTCTTTCTCTAGATACCTGAAATACAATCCAGCATGAAATATTCAGAATGCAACTACTTTTCATCATGGCCACTGCCACCATACTGGTCCAAGCCATCATCATCAGTGCCTGGATTATCCCAACAGTCTCCCAAGAGGGGTCTTGCTTCCACACTTGTGTTGCCTGCCCATCTATTCTCAACAGAGCAGCCATGGTGATCTTTTCATAATGACTCTCCACTTTACTAAAGCATAAGGTCCTTACAACGGTCTATAGGGCCCTATATTTTCTGTCTGTTGTGACTTCTGACTTCCTCTCCATCCCTTGCTCATACAGCCCTCCTGCTAGTTCTTAAACTTGCCCACCATGTTCCTACTTCTTCAGGGTCTCTGCACTTTGCTGCTGCCCCTGCTGCCTCAGATATGCCTTCCCCAGATTCCCATCCAGTTTGTTCCTGCATCTCCTTCAGGCCTCTGATTAAAATCCCTCTTCTCTGACCACCTGATTTAAACAGCGGCTTCTTTTCTGATACATCCTACACCTGCTTATATTCTCTCTATGGAATGCAAGCTCCAAAGGGCAGAGATTTAGGTTCTGCTTTGTTAATTGTTTCATCTCCAGTGCCAAAGGAACTCTCTCTCCAGGACTGAGATGGCATATAGAAGGTGCTCAGTATATTACTTTTAAATGAAAAAATGACTTTTGCTAATGAAAGAGCATGTTCCTAAACCATGGGGTTGTATTAGTCCATTTTTACGCCAATAAAGACACACCCAAGACTGGGTAATTTATAAAGAAAAAGAGGTTTAATGGACTCACAGTCCCACCTGGCTGGGGAGGCCTCACAATCATGATGGAAGGCAAGGAGGAGACAGTGACATCTCACATGGCAGCAGGCAAGAGGGACTGTGTGCGGGAACTCGCCTTTATAAAACCATCAGATCTTGTGAGAGTTATTCACTACCATGATTCAGTGATCTCCACCTGGGATCCTCCCATAACATGTGGGAATCAGGAGAGCTACAATTCAACACGAGATGCGGGTGAGGACACAGTCAAATTGTATCAGGGTGAATTATCTAAACTGGCTATCTACACTAATCAGATGACTCAGTCAGGTCATCTGTGTTTCTGCCCAGGGAAAGTACCCCCTTGGACTATAGGGTCTCAGTGTAAAGATCACACCATCTCAGTACTCAGGCTTTTCAAGCTAAGGGCCCTGAACCATGAACAAGGCATAGAACGATATGTTTAATGAGTTTTGGGATATTGACCTCAAGAGAACATTTAACTGACAAATTGGGCTAAACATTTTAATTTTAAAAATTATTTAACTGAGGGACAATATTTTAAAACCTAAATACCCCATCCAAACAACATATTTAATGAATCTAAATCCAAATGCAGCAATATTTCCTATACCAGAAAACTATGATTCAAGGATATTTCACAGAGATGGAAATTAACTGCTTGGGGGGAAAAAAAAGTCTAGTTCCACAATTACAGCAATAGAACCAAACTTTGAAAATGTAGGAACTCTCTCTCCAGGACTGAGATGGCTTCCTCATATTAGTGCCTGAGAAGTGTTGGCTCATGGAGTCCCACATCATTTATGGCAGCCAGTCAAGACACACCAGCTCTGCCTTGGCTAACTGGTTAGCTGCGGGCAAGTTGTGGCCACAGAGCTATATAGTAAACATTTCTTGAATTGATCTGAGCAACCATCACCCTTTTGGTGTTCTGTTGATTGAAATTACTGCATTGGGAATTGTGGGATTCACTCACACCACCCTGATAATGCATAATTACTTGTGGTCGATTGTGATACTAATACTAGTCTCTCTTTTCTCCTAGCAAGCTCATGATTTCCCTTTCCATTTCCTTGCACTTCAATTTAAGCCCAACGAAAAAAAAAAATGACAAGAAGGAAAGAACAACTTAAGAAATTGATCTTTTTTTCGTGTATTTCCCTGGTAATTTTGATATGATTTTATTTGCTTTGAGTTGAAGAAGCATTATGCATGTAATACAACTGAAGGGTAATGACCATAACCTTCATTTGATGGTTTATGCTATTACAGTGGGTTTTTAATCATAATGTTGAGAAATACATTTTTCAATAAACACTCATGGGAGGGTCTTCTAAGAAAGATGGCACAGTACGGAGGAAAAAACACATGCTTTCACTTTTTAAGCATCTGGATGTGAATCCTAATCCATGTGCCTTATGGAAGGGCCTCCTAAGAAGGCAACTCTACTGGCTCTGCAACTCTGGACAAGTTCCTTAATTCCTCTGAGCCTTGTTTCTCATACATAAAATGGGCACAATGTTTATTTACCATGAGGTTTAAAGGTTCACACAAAAGGCTGAGTGTGGTGGCTCACACTTATAATCCCAGAGCTTTGATAGGCTGGGATGGAAAGATCACTTGAAGCCAGGACTTAGAGACCCATAGCAGGACCCATATTCTACAAAACAATTTAAAAAATTAGCTGGGCATGGTGGTACATGCATGTAGTGTCAGCTACTCAGGAGGCGGAGTCAGGAGTACTGCTTGAGCCCAGAAGTTCAAGCCTGCAGTAGGCCATGATTGGGCCACTGCACTCCAGCCTGGACAATAGAGCAACGCCCTATCTATCTCTTTTAAAAAAAGAATCATGCAAAATGCTGAACAGTACCTGGAATATATAGTAACTCAGTAACCAGTAAGTAGCATAATTATTGTCTAACATCAAGGCATAATGTTAGACACTGTGGATGCAAAGAAAATGACAGTGTATGCACTTGGTTCATGAAAACAGAAAAACATGCCACATTATCAGAGAGAGAGAGAGGGAGGTAAGAGCCAAGTGTCAGGAAAGCTCAGAGGAAGGGGCCTGGGGTAATTGGAGAAGGCTTCTTAGAAGAGATGAAATCTGAGCTGAGTCTAGAATAATGAGTGACATTGGTCTAGCAGACTAGGTATGAATGGTATATTCAAAAGCTCCAAGGATGCAGGTGCATGGCAGGTGCCAGGAATGGTAGATTCAGGGCAGGCTTTGTCCTATGTGACACAAATTGGGAAAGAACAGACCTGAAATGAGATCCAAGAGGGGCAGCATGTTGGTGGTGGTGCTGGGGATAAAACCCAGGACACCTGATGGCCAGTCCATCTACCTACTTCTGGGGTTCAGTAAGCCTAAACCATGCCCGTGGGGGTAAGAGACAAGTGGGTGTTTCTAAGTCTGATGCCAAGACAGGAGAGGGGAGGAGGTTTCAGGAGGAACAAAGTTGACAACAGAGGGCTCGAAGTCAGCTCATTGCAGAGACTCCCTGACCATTGATCCAAAGTGAACTGCTGCCCCTGCCTGCCAGTCACCTTCTTTGGAAATTACATTGTTGGTTTGTTTTCTCCCAACAGAATATAGAGAGCTTCCATAGGAGTAAACATCCTGCTTTTCTTGCTCACCACTAAAGCATCAGCATTATGCAAAGAGCACTGGTGGACAGGGTCTGGCGGGGTGGGGGTGGTGGGGTGTGCTAAAGGAGCCTGAGAGATTCTAAAAGCAGCGAATTGTTTTCTTGCTCCTTTTATTAGAGTCTGTTTATGCTTCCGATTGTGTTAGCCTAGATATGTTTTAATAGTTATGTGCCACCTTGATCCTTTTTTTTTTGAAAGAAAGCAGATATATAGTTTAAATATATAACTAATTATTTCATGACTCCTTTAATGAAAAGCACTATAAATCTTTACTGTGTGAGACAAAAATAAATGCATCAGTCAATGCCTTCCAAAACAGTTCCACTTGCGCTCCCTGAGCCCACCCTCGAATAGGTCCTATCCCTGCTAATTGAGTCCTGATCACGCTACTTGGAGGATACTCAACTAACAATAATGCAACTTCTATTCATAGGATTCCTCTAGTCCTCAGGCATCCTGGTCTTCAGCACAGACCTCCTGCAAGGAACTTTCTGAGTTCAGTTTGGGTAATTATGTTCTACATGTCACCTCAACTCACCATACCTGCATTTTTTTAAATAATAGCTCTTTGGCCTAAAGACATTAGGTAAAGTCATTCTTCCTTGTTTGGATTACTTTTTCTCCCCCTCTAAGTTAAAACCCATGTTGCCTGGCACTGAATTATATGGCCACTCACATAGCTACCAGAAACTGTACATGGAAAAAAGTCACGAGCAATTTTGTGTAGTCAGAAGTGAAGTGAATGTCAGTTGAGAAGTAAAAGAGGTCATCAGCTGGGCACGTCCACCGTCCGGTAGTCAGTGTAGATCCGAGTATGAACTTGAGGCTGAATGGCCCTCACCCCAGAGGACGGATGAATTTCTGACATCACTTACCACCAACCACACACGGCTTCCCCTCATTAGCCCGTTTCTTCTGCCTCCAAACTGCTGGGAAAATGTCCTTAGTACTTCCAACCACCCCGATTTCTCTTGCTAATGAACACCAGACAGGAAAAATTCAAAACAAGCTGGAAATCGATGTGAAATGCAGGCCACCATCATGGGCACCTGGAATCCGTCTTGGCTTGTCAGGGTGGGGCCAGGAGAGGCGTGGTGTGCCCTCAAGGTAGCGTCTGCTCAGGCGACAGTGGTCCAATCCCAACCTAAGCAAGCACACTGACTTGGTTTACCAAAGATGCTGACATGTTCCTATGGCATGGATCGCCTGGTGCTGAACAGGCGTGAGACACACTGGCCAGTCTGCACAGTTGCAATTTCAGGGTGGGAGGGAGGCAGGGAAGAAGTAGACATTCTTCCATTTAATGACTCTCCTTTAATGCCGATGTTTTTCCTATTGGTTTACAGAGTTAGTGTCTGTAAGAATCTGTGGCTGCATCTTTTTATCCTTCAAATCTCACTCACAAATTAATAGTAACATAATTACAACCAACACTGATAGTGCCCTCACTAGAGACCACATACTGTTTTACACGCTTCCTATTAACCCATTCAATCCTCACATCAACCCTATGAAGAGGGTCGTATGATACCCCCACTTTACTGATTAGAAATTAAGGCACAGAAAGATTAAATTTCCAAAAGTCACACAGCTGGTAAGTGGAAGGGCTAGGATTTAAACTGAAGGCAGAGAGAACTTTAATTGAAGTGTGCACCTTAGGACTGTAATATGCCACACGCCCTGGTGGCTGATTATTTGGGGGGGGTGACTGCAATATGGGACGTAGGGAAAAGCATGGAAAATTAGAAGCAGGTTTTTCATAACCTTATATTCTTTACAGATCTATAAATGCCAGCTACTGAGTAACTGCTATGAGGAATATGAATGGCACAGGCTGGCAAACGAGTCTGTTGTAATGGGGTTGGCATCTTCAGCCTGCAGTTGACAGGCAGAAGCGGTGAGCGTCACACTGCTGGGTCTCTGTCCTGCCTTGTCATCAGGGCCACTTGTCAGTGCCACATGCCTCATAGGTCAGTGTATGGGGGATGTGGTTGCAGTGGTCCCCACATGCCCTCAGGCTGGCTGTCTCACTGCCC